CTAAGTACTGCCGACATTCGGCACGCAAGCACGCAGTAATCCGAACACTAAATAACGCGCAAGAAACACAAAATAACACGTAATTAACGCACAAGTGACCCGGCTGTGGCAAGGCGAGCGCAAAATTCTCTACTCGATTCGCGCAACTCTATGCCGGGCGGATGGCACACGCGGACTCTACACACGGACATACATTTACGCGGACAACGAAACTGAAATAGCGCGATCCGCCCGACAATGAAACCGGCGGCCGACAATCGTAATTGCTAACGTTCGTCTCACCAAGAGCGGCAGCTATGGAGGATGTTCTCTCTCTCTTAAAGTTCTCGTACTCGGCAACTATCGGGATCCTGCGTCCTATCCCACACGCGACCACAGCACAAGTGTCGCTCGCCGGTCCTTCCGGCAGCACGCAGGCAGCAGGGGGTCACGCGATCGGCTGATAGTGCGCCGATTGGCCCTTGCCCTGCGAGCGCGACGCCCGCGAATCGCGGTGTCGCACGTGATCAGCTGGCTCGCAGCTGGCAGCGCGGACTTTAAATTAGGCTCGGGTCCTTCACCGAGCCCTGGCGTCGACCCTGTTTGTTCGTCTCGCTTCCGAATACTTCGCCGTCGGCAACCTGATCCGGACCGGATCGTGAGAGTTCGTTGCCGCCGTATTCACTGTCGGATTGCTGAAATTAGTCGGCGACAGTAACGAGCTCGTGATAGAGAACATGGAGCTAACGCTCGTATGAATCATTTTATCTGACCTGCGTGCTCCGTGTCTCCCGCGGTGAGCCAGTCGTTCCGAGGCTGAGGTCTCTCTCCCTCTCGCCGCTTGGTGTAGACGATTCGTCATTGTCGCCGATCCATACCTATGGTTACGCTCACGAGGAGAGGAAAGTTACATAACGCGCGCGGCAATATGATTGAAACGCAATGCGCGCGGATACGCTCGCCTCCCTAAATCGGGGAGGACGCAGGATCCGAAACCGCGCTTCTTCGGCCGGGCGTTGCGACCCTTGTGACGGACGATCAAAAAATGTCCCGTCACAGCATATAGGAGCATACATCAAATTCAACTGCAGGATATATCTAAACTGAGGTGCAAGCAATTTTCTTTTAAAAAAATGCAGGAAGAATCTTCTTTAAATGTAAATATGAAAATGCACATGACTATATAATATTTATTGTTAATAAATTAATTTATCATTATATGTTTTGTTGGCAGTTTACAAAAAATTTCTATGTCATTCAATTTGATGACGGGATAGCATTAGTCCCTAATAATTGGTTGCAGATATCTGAAGATCAAAAGCAACAAGTTTGCTTCTATCCAAATTACAATGTTAAAAAAAGGCTGAATAAAGCTATACAAAATAAGGAAATACCGGATTTAAAAAATGTACAAGCTGGTTGGGCGATGTATGACGTTTTACGTATTTTGTCTTCAGCAGGTACACATGCTCATACTCACACACACACACACGCACGCACGCACGCACGCACGCACGCACGCACGCACGCACGCACGCACGCACGCACGCACGCACGCACGCACGCACGCACGCACGCACGCAACGCACGCACGCACGCACGCACGCACGCACGCAGCACGCACGCACG